TCTTAGCATTGAGGTAGCTCGCTCAAAAAATGGCATCTCCGTTTCACAGCGTAAGTATGCCCTAGACTTAATAAAGAAAACTGGAATGCTTGGATGCAAACCTATTGACATCAACAGATAAGGGCATATATCAAAAACTTGTTGGGAAACTCATATAACTCTCTTATACAAGACTAGATATAAGTTTTTTGGTAGTATGGTAAGCAGATTCATGAACAACCCAATCGAGCAACACTTGAAGGCAATGTATTAAATCTTACGGTACCTAAAGAAGAGTCTTGGCAAAATGTTATTTTTTAAGAAGACATTACGTCGAAATGTTAAAATTTACATTGATACTGATTGGGCTAAATCCATTATTGATTGATGTAGACACCGAATTTTATCCGGATCTACCATTTCTAATCTTTGGTTTAATAATAATAATAATAATATTGATTTAATTAATATAAAAAAATAAAAATAAAAGTGATAACTGATAAAAAAAAAAAGAAAATAATCAAAATGGCAGTGATGCCTTACATGCCACTATTACTACCCACTCTGTCACCACCATCCCCAATCCCATCGGAGCCTCTGCACCTCACTTGCCCCAACTGCTCGAAACCATTAACCATACCCTGCCATCACACCCATACCTCGCCAGATGTATGCTCTATTGGCTACCACCATTTTCAACCCTATAAAGCCTCCAACGTTTCCCCTTTCAGTCTCTTTTGGACCCCTAGAACACGTTAGAGACCCAACTCTCCATCCCCGAAAAGCCAATCCCATCAGACTCACCCACTAGTCGCGATCCCTCTTTACCCACACAAACCCCTAAAACAGAAAAACAAAAGCAAAGACAAACAGTCCTCCCCGTAGGGAGGAACCTCAGTGCCGAAGCTCCCTATAAGAATAAAAAAATCATATCAGTCTTCGATTTACAAAAAAAAAAGAAAAAAATAAAAATAAAAATCTTCAAACCTCGATCTACGTCGATCAGGGCTTTTTTTTTCGTGAAAAAGATAGTAGATCCGAGCTTAGGGGTTTGAGAAGGGCATTTTGGTGAATTCTAAAAATTTTTCGATCACCGGCAACGAATCCAACGACGGTTAGCGCGGCACCAGACTCCAGCCGGAGCCAGAAAGCATTTTCAGACCGAGGAGATTTTTTTTTTTTAGTAGAAAAAGAAATGAGCAAAAAATTTTTTTTTTAAGGTTTATATAAAAAATTAAACGGCTCAAAACGACGTCGTTTCAACGGGAGAGGATCCGCATGTGGACCCGAACCCGACTCAAGGTCTGTGCAATCGACCCAACAACCCGGCTCCTCAGCAAATTTGAATCGGTTTGATCAGATCGGACCAAACCGCTCTTCAACAGGCTCAATCGAACCACACGTTGAACTGAACCCTTTTCAATCCAACCGAACCGCTGTTGATCAGACCGTTAACCGGTCCGATTCATGTAAAAATTTTTTTTTTATTTTTTATATATATTATTATTTTTGTTATTTTGAATATTTTTTATATTTATGCATGATGAATTTTAAAGTTTGTTAGGATAAATATTTAATTATTTTAATAATAATAAAAATGAAAACGAGTAAGATAACTAATAAAAAAATATTAAAAATACTTAAAATAATAATAATAATAATCTAAAAAATTATAATAAGAATAATTTTTCTTATTTTTCCTACCTAGATGTTGGAGGGAATAAAACATATTCCTAAAAATAATTTCGCCTAAATATTGAAGAATTATTATTAATAAATTTTTATAAAAAATTATATATATAAGAAAATTTTAATTAATTTTTAAAAATCATTAAAATCGAACTTGCTTCGAAAATCCACCTAGATGTTGGAGATTTTTAGAGATGTTTGCTTTTTCTTAACAAAACAAAATTTTAAACGCTAATTCTTAAATTTTAAAACTCTAAAACCTCATAACCTTTAAATCCAAACCCCAAAACCCAAAATCCCTAAAATTCAAACCCTTAAATCAAAACCCCAAAACTCAAATTTTAAAACCAAAACCCTAAAATCTCCAAACTCTAAAATCAAAATCATAAACCTTCAATACCCTAAAATCCAAGCCTTAAGACCCTCTAAACTTTAAAACCCTCAAAACTCAACCAAAAATCCTAAAATCTGAATCTTCAAAATCTTGAAACCCTAACCTTTAAAACCTCTACTCAAGCCCTTACTCAAAACATTCTGAAAATCCTAAGAACACGTGTGAAAATCTCATTTAAAGTAATTTATTTTCGAATGTCGCCTAAATGATGGGGTGTTTAGAAAACTTTACTTCGTTAAATTTTTTCACACGAGTTCTTAATTCGCATTAATAATAAGATTAACAAATAAAAAGAATAATAGTAAATTGGATTCTTAAATATAAACAGTCGCACCTAAGCTCTACCTAGATGTTGGAGAGTCAGGGTGGTTTCATTATACTTAAGAACACAACTTTTAAATTGTATTTCTTTTTACATGACATTCATTAGCATACATATGTTAGCGTGTTATCATTATTCTCTCTTTAATTTTTATTTACTATTTGATGATAAAATATTTCATAATAAAAAAAGAATAATACATTTTAAACAAAATTTTGTGATATTATAAAATAAAATAAAAATAACATTTTAAATGAAATAATTCTTGGTACTTTGCCTAGATGTTGGAGAGTCATTAACAATTATCTTCTATAAAAACTGTTATTTCATTTTAAGGATTATCGTGTTAAATCTTAAGCGAAAAGAGTTATTTTAAATTTTAACTAGATGTTGAAGAATTTTAAAATAATTCTTTAACTTTAAGATTTTTTCAATATTCTTAAATAAAGAGCTTTAACAAAATTTTATTTTTTCAAATGAAGGGAATTAGTTTTAAATTTCAAATTGAAACCATTTTTATCCAACACCAAAAATAGCACATAATTAAATGGTTCCAATTTATGGGTGTTGTGGGAGTGCTAATCATTTCCTATACGTAACCGACTCTCGGACTCAACCTAGTTTTTCGTAGATTGAAATTTATCTTTTTGATAAACTTTAAACTCGTTTTTATGGTTTTTTTGAAAAGATAAACTTTTGAGTGGTCAATCACACCCTAACAAAGATTGGTGCCGACTCTCTCATTTATTTCGATTTTAAAACTCATTTACGTCTGGCGGTCCTAAAATCGTTATGATAATTGAAGATCAACTATTGACTATTGTACCTATGTGTGAGAAAATTTGGTTACGTGGTGAAACAAGAAACAATTTGTGGTAGTTAGAAGTAGCGCGAAAGCTGAGTTTAGAGCTATGTCTCATGGCATATATGAGGGAATTCGGCTGACAAGATTGCTAAGGGATTTAAAGGTCTTTGCAGAAGAATCCATGAAAATATTCTATGACAACAAAGCTACCATAAGTATAGCAAAGGATCATGCTCATCATGATAAGACTAAACATATAGAGATTGATCATCACTTCATGAAAGAGAAGATAGAGGAAGGAATTGTTAGATTAGTTTATACTCCCACATACCTCAAAACTGCAGACAAACTCGCTAAGGCTCTCTCCCGAAACAACTTCAAGAATCTAAAGTCCAAGTTGGACATGATTGACATCTACCATCTAGCTTGAGGGGGAGTTTAAACATCTAATCTTCATTATTACTTGATTAGTTAACTTTATTTTTTTAGTTAAGTCTCTTATTTTTAGAATAACGAGTGATTTGGATAATTACACCAAATTCAGTAGATATTTTTCTATTATGTGTAAAGAGTAAATTACTCATTTAATTAGTTATTTTAATGCATGAAAATTTTGGATTTAAGGCTGAGAATATTCAGTTTTTAGCCTAAATATTTTCATGTAATTCTTGCATTATAATAAAAAAAATATAAAAGAATAAAATAGTTTTATTATAGAGATTTCTTCAGTAATTGAAAGTGAAAGCAGCAATAGTTTCATTTCTGATGAAACATTCTCACAATAAAAAATGGTACATCAAAGTGAAGAGAATTAGTTGTTAAACATGAGAAATAAACATACCTTCGTTAAACATTGCTAGGTCCAGGTCCCTCTCATAGAAAACTAGGAGATTCTTAAAATACTTAGACAAAATGAAGCATGTTTCATCTGTCAACTAAATACATAAAGGGATAAAGAAATTTTAATCAATCTGCTTGACAAATATGTAATGTCGAGAAATAAAACAGAACAGATACTTTTGAAAAAATTAGTCAACCCGGGTAAATGTATTGTAAACCATGTTCAAAATCGTAAAAGCACCACAAAATAGGTACGCTTCTTCACAGCCATATATTACAGCTTTGAAAAGTCATGAAATAGTTTTAGAATAACTCATAGCAAAAGATCCATGCTTAAATTATTTCGTAGTTCCAGGTTGCACTGAGTTGTCAATGGAAGATATGAAAAGTGCTCTATTCTATTGTGACATGGCTTTCCTTCTTCTTTCCCTATTTCAATTGCTTCCCAATAAACTATCAATTGTTATAACGTGTAAGTACAAAAAAGAAGAGGTTAGCAGAAAATGGTATCTCGCTAGCTAAGATTGATGTTATGTTGAATGCCAATAGAAAACAGAAGAATAACAGCTCACTCTTCCTTCTGAGCAGCCAGCGGAACCTTATTTGATGGCATAACTTACTTGTGAGAGTATGATTTTGAAGTAAACTTCAACTTTCACAAGTTTATGGGAAAGGATTTCATTCATGGGAAAGAATGGCTTTGCAGCCATATAATCTTTATATAACTCCATTTCAAAACTGTACCTGAGAAAAGTTCTTGTTTGACAACAAATAGGTAAAGTAATGTATTCTTTCATTATCAATTGAATAAGTTGACTTCGATCAGCAGAGCAAACCGAACTGCAATCCTGGAAACCAATAACACATAGTGAAGAGAACCTACAACAGCAAAACATGGCTTTTTTTTTCTCAGAAGAAAAAAAACGATATTCAAGAAGCTTAGAGAAACAAATGTCCACCATCTCTCTCCCTCTGCTGAAGTAACTTCACTTTTTCAAATATAACAACTAGATCACTTCCTACTTTCTTTGAATTCTCAAAGAACCGTCCACCAACAACTAAAAACGTCCCATCTTTCTTTAAAGAATCTTTGTTTTCATTAACTCTATTCAACCAGCAATGATGAGGACCTAAATCGCAGATTAAGAATCCCATTATATCAGTTTAATTAACATCATTTCAAAGTAAAAAAAAAAAAAAGTAGTAGTTTTGAGGACCTTGAAGATGATCGAAAGCAGATTCAATGAAAGACAATAAATGGGTTTCAAAAGGAGGGTCCTGAGATAGTTTTGAAATTGTACAGTGCCTGAAAAGAGACTGTCTTTTGTAAATTAGGAGAGCCAAAAAATACAGAAATGTTAAAGTGAATGCTACAGTAAGAACCTAAAAGTTATATGCTGAAAAATACTTTAAAATAAAAAATGAACTGACCCCATGAATTGGAAGGAAAAAAAACAAAAGGAGATACCTGAAAATGTCTCGGGAAATCTAGTGTTTATTTCATTGCATTGATGAGGCAAAGGACTCGAAGAGGAGAAAACTACTGAGTTGAATACTCGTTTAGACGGTTGATAATGATAACCTGAATTTGAAAGAAAATCAATCAATATATAATTAATCGGAAAAAAAAAAAAAGAAAAAAGAAAGACCTGAGGAAAAATGGGGCAAAAAGCTTGAAACTTTTCTGAGATAACGGTGTCTCAAAGACATTTTGTAGGATATTTTTGAAGGAAAATAAAAATGGGATTTTCCTTTGGAATCTAATGATTTGAAAACTTTTTTTTTTTTTTTTTTTCTGAAACTCCAAACTTGAAATTTGGAGTAATGAATGAACATCGATGGGGTTTCTGTCTCCGGGCAGGGTTTAAGCTATCCGTTAGCTACCCGGGTCAAGAGGAAAAGTGTCAGGGTCGGGTCATTTAAGTGTATTGGGCCCGGTGCAATTAACCCATTAAAAATTAGGGCTTTTGAGCTGTCTTTTATTGGGCTCCTATAAACACATCATTAATTCCTATTTCAGTTTGCATGTCGTCGGAAATGATTTTCATTTTTTCTTGAAGAATAAAAACAAATGTCACGTATTTTTCCCATAATTTAAATTTTACATCCATGTTCATGGTTGTGTTACATTTTAAATTATTATTTAATCCTTTTGAAATGACAAAATAAAATTTAAACCATTTTTAAGTTCGAATCTTTTTTTTTTGTCATGTCATATGATAATTTATAAATTTTAATTAAAAATATGGTATTACTTTCTTGAAAAACAATATGGTGGTATTTAATAAGGTGGACTGACGTTATGATAAAAAATATATATAAATTGTGTCCTAAATCTAGTGAACTTGAAATTAGGGCGCCATCCATCTAGTAGGCATCGATAATTTTATTATTATTAGTAGGTGCTACTTGTAGGTTGGCTTATGCTCTTTATTGATTAATTGGACGACATATATCAATTGCATTTCATCAACTAGTTTCTCTAAAAAGTAAATTTGATGGATAGAGGAAGGGGGGGACGAAGGTTTGCCAATACCAAGGCAAAGAACAAAGGTACCTTGACAGGACTTGTGGCATATATATACTAGCTAGCTATAGGTTGCTAGCTGCTTGTTAGCCTTTTCCTCTAACCCTCGATGAAGGCATCCAAGGAACAAATATTGGATTAAATAAAGTTTTTTTTATTTATTTATAAAAGAGGTCACATAAAAGAAAAAAAATTTATAGGTGAAACAAATCAAATTTTAGATTTATTGAATATTATTTTTTATGAATAATTATATGAATTAATTAAATTAAATTTTAAATTCTTTTAATTTAAAAGTCATTCAACCTTCAAATAATTTTAATTGGAATAAGTTATTGTGAACATTTGAATAGTACAAGCTTTACCTATTTTTTCTCTAATAATTCTTTCCCTTTCTTGTTTGATTTAGAATCCATATAAACTAATTTAGGGCTATTGCAATATTTTTGCCCTATAATAAAATGCAGAATTTCATTGGTATTAATATTAAAGGTGATAACGATTTGGTAATTTGAATCAAATTCGATTCAATTTTTTAGATATAATATAATATTATAAAATTTAAAATTCGATCTAAATTTGAATTGAATTTTCATTCGATTTGAATCGAACTGTATCGAATTTTATCAATTTGGTTTGATTCAGTTTATCAATTTTTAATTTTTTTAATTTTGATATATTATTTTAATATAAAATTTTAATATATTTATGTATATTTTGATATAAAATTATTATTTTTATTTTATAAAAATTTAAAAAATATATAAAAACTAAAAAATATATATAATTCGATTTGGTTTGGTTCTATTTTTTATCTCCTAATTTGAAATTCGATCTGAACATAATATATGCATTTAAAATCCATACTCAATCCAAACCAAATAAAAAAAAGATCCAAATTGAACTAAACATTTTGATTTCGAATTGATTTTCAAATTTCTCAACCTTTTGAATAAAGTCCTCCCTTCCAATGTGATTTGATTTTTTTGTTTTTACAGTCAAACTTTATTAACTTTTATCACTGATATTTTAAATATTTTATTAAATTAATTTTTTTATAAAATTATATTTGAAAATTTCTTCATTCAAGATTTTTAAAAAGTACTTCTCATATTTTAATTAATTAACAACATATTTAAAAGAAAATAAAGTCAAATTAAAAAAGTTTTACTTTTAAAAATCAAACTAAGAGATTGTTTATGAGATAGAGAGAGTTGTATTTATTATCTTGAATTTATACCAACTTGTTGCCATTCACGAGTTTTTGACTAAAATATGGAATTTTTCAACATGAATCTAGTACTCTTCCAAGGAACTATTAGCCATCCTTGAATGTAATGTAATAGGAATATATAGGAGAAAAGAGTTATTGGAACCAAAGTCAAATTAATTTGTAGGAGAAGAAATTATTGGGCTAAAGTTGGGAAATATTGGTGGAACCCAATGATCTTTAAAATATTCTTATCATTAGTCATTTTAATAGGGATTGCCAAAAGTTTCTTTTCATCTTGCTGGCATGAATTTAAAGTGCCATTGACAAATAATTTTAGATATATTCTTAACCATATTCTCTTTCTTGCACTCATTCAGCTAGCTGTATGTCATGATCATTTATGAGAATGAAGTCATGCAATTTTGAATCCCCAGATATAGCCAGCCATGCAAGCTGGACATATATCGTATCCCTACAAATTTGTTTTCATATATACCTTTACTCTATCAAAAAAAAAAAAAAAGAAAGAAAAACCCTTTTCTGGGTTCCATTTACATCTCATAATTAAACTCAAGTACTAATTAATCTAGTTTAAAAAATCGAGGTTGATATTTGAAGGTGATCGATGACTCTGGTTGCAGTTTTCTGAGGGTTATTAGCAGAAGGCGGTAGTGATGGCAGACTGATATGATTCGAAGATGTGGGCAGTTGAAGTTGGTGATGGTGGTGGCTATAATTGGTATGACCAAATTTTAGTATCCTATTTAAAGCAATTTCAATGTCTTAATAATAAAAAAAAAATCTAAGACATAAAAATAAGGAAGGGAGGAGTAAATTTTAACAAAATTTCTTTAAAAATTACTGCCATATGGTACTAAGTACTAACATTTCATTTTACACTTTACTACAAGTTGACCACTTTAAAATGATCTGACAAAGGACAACAAAATTTATGCATATAATGGTGCACCCCAGAGAAATTGTTAAAATAAAGTACTTTGGACGCAAAAAACGTAATAATTAGTTTAATCAGAAAGCATATGATTGGGTAACATTTTATTCAACAACAGGAAAATGATACAGTAATAATTATCAAATCATGACTTTGGCATCTCGACTTTCTCGGATTTTGTGTTCGAGAAGACACAAAAGCAAAGTCCAAATCACTGACCAAATGATTTTTCAGACAAAACAAAAGTTCTTCTGATTTCTTCTTCACACATATCTGACACAGTGACAACTGCTGCCATTTTGGCCTAGCAGATTCCTTTCTCATCTGCCTTTCTTTCCTCCCTGTCTATGCTTTCAAGACCAGAGAGTAGAATGGAAGGGAAAGGAAAGGAAAAGAAAACCCATGCACTCTCAAACCATGCTAATGAAAACCTCATCTTCTCCCTTTTTTTTTTTTTTTCATTCTTTTGATCTATTTTTGTGAAAATCAATCTGCCAGGGCTTTTAACTTCTACCAGGTCCAGACCACAAAGATATCTTTCAATATGTATAACATTGAAATAGATGCAGAACCTGGAGAGACTTAAAATTTCACTGGATTTTAAGGGTTTTTTTAACTTAGTTAATCAAGAAATTAATGACATAGCATTGAATAAAATCATACAAGAAATCAAAAGTAAATATATATAAACCATACCATCATCATCTATATATGAAACAAATAGCATACATACATGTAGAAAAATATAGTGTCTCTCTCTTCCTATACATTTCTAGTTCAAGAAAGGGGAAAAGGGAAATAAAGAAGTAATGCTAGTGATGATGATGAAGATGACAACAAAGGTAACAAACACCTCACAGAGAGGACAAGCAGTATTAATGATGGAACTAAACAGTACTCATATGACAAACAAATTAACAATAACTATTGTCGTCACGACTCTATCATCTTCAATCCGTACTTCATGTCTCCACAATTCAAACTTACCTGTTGGAAATAGGGTTCGGACCGCTTGGAACTTCGTGAGCTTCGGCTCCAAACTGCCTACGTGAAGATTTTGATGACGATGATGATGATGAAGAAGTATGAACGTTTTGCGTTTGCTTGGGGTGCAAGTTCGTGGCAGAAGAGGTCGATTTTGAGGAACTAGTATCCAAGAGGAGCCTCCTGAAAGGGATTGAGGGGGTGACATTGGATGAGTTCATGGCTATAGGGTTTGTAGTAGGGTTAAGGAGTAGAAGGAAAATGAAGAAAAGGGTGAGGAAGAGAAGGAGAGAGTGGGATTTTGCATAGGTCTCTGAGGCTGTTGAAGGCGATTTAGGTGCTGCCATGCAATCAAGGAAAAGAAATAACCACCCCCCAAGAGCCCACAAGGGTTCAATATCCATGAACCAGCACCAAGGCTAAAGAAGGAGGGGAAAGTAAGAAAAAAAAGAAGGAGAGATATGAAAATCAAAGCAAAGAAAGAAAGGGGAGAGGGGAAAAAGAGAGAGAGAGAGAGAGAGAGAGAGAGAAGAAGCTTCACCAAAAGTGAATGGAAAGTAAGTTTTGAAATTCGATACACATTTGTGGAGGAACCAATTTAACATGGAAGTTTATAGAAAAGGAGATGGAATTGGTTGATGAATTTACTAAATTACCCTTTTAAGTTTGTGAAACTAATAAGGATCATATGAGGTTTAATTTGGAAATTAAAATATTATACAGAAATTTTTGGATGAATATTTTAGCATGACTATAATGCCCTTACTAGGGCTTGGATAATAAAGTTTAATTTGTTTTTATGAATCTTGCATTGACTAATGATTACATACAACCAAACAACAACCTTGTTGAAATATATATGTAGAGAGTAATATTAAATTGTTGCTTTTTCCATGGTTAATTTCTTTTACCTGGATAAAAATGGAAGCGGCTACAGTTGCTAAATTATTGGGGGAGAACCAATTCATGGTTCACGTTTTGAAATGCAAGAACAAATTTTATTATTCTATCAACTCAAAATTCAAACTCTTCAAACTATTAGCAAGCATATTAAAGAGTCGGATTTGAATAGCTTGCCCACCAAATTAATAAAAAAAAATAAAGCATTAATTTTTTACAAAGGAAACCAAAGCCTAAAGAAAATTTGCAAGTTTAAAAAATCGAACCTAAATCTTGCTAGAATCCAACTTCTAAAAAAGTGAATGAGTCATTTAAGTATATAAGTCCCAAATTCAAAGAAAATTAAAGTAAAATTGAAGGGTGTTCTTGTCTTAATATCAAACACTAATGCGGCATTTAGTCATTAATCTTGGGCCATACTGCAAAAGAAATAAATTAAAGAATCTTGAAAGAGAAAAGTCAGTGGCAACAAATAGAAAGAAATGGAGATGGTGGAAGGAGGGAGGTGGGGGTGGGGGTGGTAGTGGTAGTGGCTTTTCTTGCTTGGCCGGTTCCCAAAGATAAACTTCTTTGACTTGGTGAACCCTATGCAGGGAAAAATATGCCAATGGTCTTGTTCCTTGCATTTCTCTGCCAACAAGTGGCGTTTACCTCCTCTTTTCAGCGCGTGATCATTCACTTATGTATCCATCAACTATATATATATATATATATATATAATATATATATATATGTATTGTATGGTTTGGTTTCGGTTCTTCAAGAGAATAATAAACTGAAAATGGTGCAATCCAAAGTTGATAGCCTTATTATTCACGATTTTGGCTTTTTTTTTTTTACAATAATCTCACTTTTCTAGTAATACACATAAATTATTTGTCTAACTTAATTAATTTACTCCGTAAATTTGTTCCCAAATTCCTTTATTTTTTTTTTGAAAGGTTTATGATTAAACTTGAAATAAAAACTAGGAGTATAAATAATACATTAGTATTCGTAAATTATTCAGGTTTCAATTCGAATAAAATTTAAATTCGACTTAATTATTATCGAGTCAAACTCAAATAATTTGATTCATCGATCGAGCTGAGTTTAAATATTTTAATATCTGACTCGAGTAACTTGTGAGTCTAATCAAATTTTTATATTTAAATATATTTTTATTATTTTAATTAATAACATATTTAGAACTCGAGCTTAAATTCAAGACAAATAATTAAATTTTATTAAATATAAGAATCAAACTTATTTTTATATGTTAATTAAACTTAATTGAACGAATTTGAGTAATTCGATTTTTATATTAAGTAAGTTCGAATTAAAAAACTAAAATTCATTTGAGTTTGAGCTGAGTTTTGAGTCTTAAATTAAGTTCGAACTCAAGTTTAATACTGTATCAATTCAAATTCGATCGATTACACTCTTAATATAATCAAATCCCTTAGGATTATTACTCTTAAATAAATAGAAGAAAACATGGTTAGAGTCTTAGAGAAGTGTTCTTTAAATAAATTATAGCAAACTCAAAAATATAAAGAATATCAATGGAAGAGTACAAATATTCAAATCGTGAAAATGAAGATTTTGATTTTAAGGGATTACGATTTAATTATTTATTTTGTTGTTTCTAATGCAATATATCAATATCAAAAGCAAACACCCAAAATTCATGATGATAAATGGGTGTCATGTAGTCTTTAAAATAACTGCAAGCGAAAGCGAAAGTGATACACCAAAATGGAAAAGTGATGAATGACATGATTATATAATAATAAGAGAGTGACGGCAAACGCCTTCATATGAATGTGGGTCTAAACAAACAAAAACATGATTTGTAATTTTGGGAAACCAAAAAAAAAAAAAGGAAGAACAGGGAAAAAGGGCCACACGGAAAGCAAAGCATCCTATTCTTTCTTTAATTTTCTTTCTTCCCAAAGGATGGAATTGGGAGGAGAGAGTGCTGCAATTCTCTGGGCTTCGCAATTGGAAAGGCATGTCTTGTATGTCTCCCATGATGGGTGATGCATGGGCCCTAACTGCCTCGATATCATGCCTAACAAGAGATATTAAATACATATTGTACGTTCGGGTTAAATTTGGTAACTTGTTTTCTTACATAATTTCTTGAATGGCTCATCGTCATCATCATCATCACCATCTTTGCTCTTCTAACAGGGATATTGTGTGATTCGTTGTCTGTCAACAGCCTATTGCTAGTTGCTAGCCGCTGGGATTTTATTTTTGTTCGTACACGGCTATGACATTAGAAACTAGGTCAACCTTAACATATACTTTGATTTAACCTTATATCAGAACTCTGTATCTTATTGATGATCATATGGCACAATCTAAAGCCATACAGATCTTATTATAAAAGAATCAGTTATTGAATTTAGCGTTTAATTTAATTAATTTGTATAATTATTTTTTAAAAATAATATTTAATTTGATTTAAATTTTAACATTTAAATTTTCTTATTTTCATGTTGCAATTTTTTTATACTAAAAAATCAGTTTGCTTGTATAGATATGTTGGGTTTGGTTCATTTTAGTCTTTGCATTGTTTTGATCAGTCTAGCAAGACAAGTTATTTGACTTCAAAACTATATTTATAGTTTAGATTCTCATCCCAATTCATGATAATTTTCCCAATCCTATGAAATTTTTGGCATGTGCTTACTGTTTGTTTTTTTAACTAAAACTAACCCTACCATGGAATAGGCCGACGACCATTGCCACCAAATAAGATACAACTAGTGTTAGTAGTGAAGAAGTAGATAATGATATGGTAGATGATAATTTTAAAATTTTTTTTACAAACCCAATAGTAAAGAATGAGCCAATTTCATCAGATAAAATCACATCAGATGATTTTTCTAGTTCTGAAGATCAATAGATCCAGAACCTCAAAACCCTATTCTTCAACCAGAGGATAGAGGAAAAAGAAGAGCAAAAATATCTAACCCATATATGGATGATTTTCTGCATGTTCTTGATTATTTAGATTCTCCTGACGAATTAACTCAGCATAAACACCTAAAAAAGGATGAGATAAAACAAACTACAGAATCTGGCCAAACTAGTCAAATTAAACTAGAAGTCCCTATAATTGATTCATTAAACAAACGAACAATTGCACAAGGTGGCACTTATTTAGATCTAACTCGTGTACCTATTAAAGATTATGAAAAAATCATAGATGATTGGGCATAATCTATATCTATTGTTGTCATAGGTTACAAAGATCAGTAGAACAAAAAAAATTTTTTAATTATTTTTGTGGCACATGGTAAGGTGATGTCTTTTAATTTCTCAAAAAATGAGAAAAATCACTCTGGAAATACTAAAAAAGCTCACTTCTTACAGCTGGTAATATACCTTAATTATTAAAATATCTAACTTAGATTTTGAAAAATGAGTTTTATAAAAGTATAGAATCCCTAGATCCCAATCAAGAAGCTTAATTTTTCCTTTCAAAATTAAAATTATGTGATATTCGAAATCTTGATGATTTCTCTAAAAGATATATTTTTGAATATCAAAAATTGGATGAAGAACATTCAAAATTTTGGTTACAACAATTTTTCTTAAAATTTTCCTCACCATGGGATGAGCTTTGTTCTCAAAATTATAATAATTATTTAGAAATTAAAATTAAATCTACTAATGCTGCAAATCCCAACATAGAATTATACGATATTCTCGACTGTAGAATACACTACGTGCAGAGTCAGATTACAGAGCATTGTCTCAAGTAAAAAGCTACCAAACAGGTAAAATCTAAACTTAGTTACAAACAGTGTACTAAAATTTTAGAAAATGATTTAGAATTTGGTTGTAACAAATAACATATTCAAAGAAAATGTTTTAAGTAAAAAAAAAATATTTTTGGAAAAATGGAAGCCAGAAAAACCTGGTAAATATACTAAGCCTAAAAAAGGTAAATTTGTTGTTAAAAGAAAGAAAAAATCTTCTAAACAAACTTGTAAATATTTTATTTGTGATCAAGAAGTTACTATGCTGATAGCTGCCCTAACAAAGGGAAAAGTGCTAAAAAATTGATTAAAAAACTTGAAGAATGCTATCTTCAAATTTCTTTTGCAAATGAATTATCAGATGATGAAATATATTATGAAGTTTTTTCTGAAACTAATTATAACTCCTCTGATGATGAATTTGAATATATTTTTATGATGAATACAGAATCTAGCCAAGATAATATTTTAGTTACTTTTTCTACAGGTACAACTACCATAATCGGCGAAAGAATGATTAAACTCAAAAATATGATGTAAAAAACTCATCATATTTCTGATGAAAAACTCAAAGAATTACAATTCATCCAACCGGATGAGATTTATAAAATAAGTTGGTTTAAAAAATTCTAACCCTGGTATAAACGTTATATAGAAAAAACTATCTGGTGATACTGTTGCTAATGATTCTAAATAAGAATCAGTCGAAATACCTCTTTTTACAAAACAAAAAATAAACCATTTTCTAAAAAAATATCCTAAAGTTAAATACATACATATTGGTATGATTTTAATTACAGTTAAACCACTATTTTTGTCTTGCAAAGATATTCCTATTATAGCTATTTTAATGGATAATAGTTTTAAAAACCCTTCTAATGTTATAATTAGAGGAATTCAATCCAATTTAGCT